ACAACTCGGAAAAGGTAACGTCTAGGAAGGTACCTAAAATGGGATTATAGCCATTTTCTGAGAGCCCCAGCGACATAGCCTGTTGACGTAGCCTTATAGAAACACCCTATAAGTTGGCAACAACTCTAGACTGCACTCATGAAGAGGTTATCAGGCATTTCCGTTACCGTAGAGCATTTCCACGATAGACGCCATTGATGAATTGAGGGAGAAAAGGCATGATTGACAAGCAACACAAAACCAAACGGGTCAGGAGATGTGAAAAGAATATGCACCGGATCACCTAGCCGTGGGGATGAGACAAAAGGGACCGGAGCGGCCGCTTAGCAAAACGACAGGAAAGCGACTGAATCGACCGACGAGCGCGCGATTTAAGACCAGCGAAGCAGAGCAGCTTCCCGCTCTTGGAGCTTCCACCTTTCAAACTGATGCTTACAGTAACATGGCAAATGGAGCATGGTTTCTTTTCGGCGCATGCCTTACGATTAGACCCTTCCGTGATCGTACGCAAGTCAAGGCAGTTATGGATGACATGCCTCTGCACCAAGCTTTCTGTGATGTCATCCAGCAGTCCAATCATAAGTAATTGAAGGGCAGATTCGGCCTTCAGAGTGCGAAGGAGTCCGTCAGCCACGTATGAACCACTGGAAGAAAGTCATTGCTGGTAAGGGGTCAATCACTTTCCCCCAATCACTGTTCCATTTATTACCCACGGAATATCCGGCGGAAGTGCTGGGCACCCAACCAGCTATAACTTCCATTTCGCAAATGCTCACGGATTCATGACAGTTGCTCGAATATTTCAGATTCCATTCTGCAATGAGGTTGCTCAAAGGTTCGGGAGTATTTGACGCTTTTGCAAGGATTCACACGCGTTCTGTCGCTGCCGGTGGAGCTCATTCTGGACCAGCATTTCTGCCATGGCATCGAGAATTTCTTAAGAGGTCTGGTTTTGACTGCGGTTAGCACTGTGTTTTCATTTTTTAACTAGGATGTTATTTTAATTCTGATGTCTGAATATTTGAATGATCTTCGAAGAATTTACCCACGAATTCAGAATCCAGTGGGATCAATCCCTTGTAAAAATTTCGTCATTAGGTCGCAGAGCATTGTACATAACGAGCGGGACTGTTGAACTATTCCTACCCCGGTCTTCCGGAACCAGACCGGTTTGTCACCGTATTTTTTTCTAAGATGGCGAAAAATTGGCTTTGGCTGAAAATTCGCCTACAAGGGGGAGATCTTCTGGACGCGAATATCACATCCGCTTAGCCCGAAACTGCCTGGCGCCTGCGCCACAGTCGCCGGCGCCAAAACACCTTGAGTGACCAAATTAGCAAAACCTTGTCCCTAGGGGCAATTTAACCTTCCGCCTGAGCCAAAGCCTGGCGCCCGCGCCACA